AAAGACCCGATGAAATCCAGACACACACAGGGAAACAAAATTTTTCCGTTGACACAAAGAAAATCTTTGTAATCCTCCCACAATTTTGCATTCAGAACTGACCTGATGGATCCAGAAGATTCCTTATATTGGATTAGGCTTGTTTTCAATTTATGCAAAGGCTTTCCAATTTTAGGTTTCTTTTTTCCTCTGGAAACAAAAGGAAATGTTTTTCTTTAATAGTCCTACCTTTTCTCTAGGGCATTTCCATAGTAAGACACAAACTGAAGAAACACATTTACTTAAGAAATCTATTTATTTATTGAGCATAACATGTTCTATTGCTTTTTCATAGAGATCCTCACGGAAATGTACAAGGTTGAAGAAGAAAACCAAAAGGAACACTGAAAGACATTTAATGGTGAAGTTGCAAAGATGATGAACATGAGTGGAACAGGGTATAATCTTTCCCAACTTGGTGCTTCAGATATGCTACACTACTAACCTCTTATTATAACCAACCTTCCTAACAGTCTTCATTACATTGAAGCTATTTTCTTAGACTACAAAGCCCATTGTGCTCAGTGACATGGTGGTTGGAGGTGATAAGAGTCAGAGTTGTAATACATCTGTAATACAGTATGCTGGATCCCAGATTGGGAAAGCTTAAATGTTAATGGAAGTAAATCCTCTCTCTTTCTCACTTGGCTTTGGTCCCCAAATAGTACAGACTGAGGTGGGGGTCACAGTTAAAATAAGGGAGGGTAAATAGATTGCACATATGCAGCAATTTCAAGAATGATAAATTCTTCTGGCCATTTAATTTAAAAAAAAAAACTGCACTCGCTTGCTCAGAAAGAAATCTATAGTAAGCAGATGGCTTGTACGAGAATAACTAAATTCAGCTGAGAATGTATTAGCAGAACAATCTTTCTTGTCAGCCATCTCTACATAGACAGAAGAGTATGGATAACTCATTGAAATTACCAAGAGAGAAGAGAATATTTGTAGCTCGGGTTGAAATGAGGAGTCCTTGGTACTTTCTGCTTTGTTGTTTTCTTGCAGGTGTTTCATTACCTAGTTTGTCCACTGAAACATCTGCAAGAAAATAACCAAGCTCAGAGGGCACCAAGGAACCCTCACTGAAATTATCCTCATCCAAAGAGAAAATGTCCCTTTCTTTTTTAGGGGGTTGTAGGGAACCAACAGCTCACCTGAGAACAGGTCATCACATTTCTTAAATTCAATACCTGGCATCTCTGGAAGGGTCAGAGAAAGGGGGCCAGACTGTATAGAAGATTGTCTGTAAGGCTAAGGGAAAGTGCGAGGCAGGAAGAGCAGATAGCTGGAATGACTCCAGATGCTTCCTTCCCTTTTCTGTAAAATTTCCTAGCTTTGTGTGGTGGGATTCTGAATAGCTTTGAAATTTTTTGGGCAGAGTGCGAGGAGCAGCATTGGGGCTGGCTGGTCTGATTTTGGAGTCATACGTTGGGTTAAGAGCCACGAGTAAAATGAAAAGTAACACAAAAGCAATGGGCTTTAAAAAGTTGAACTTTTTTCTCTAGTACATTCCTTCTCTTAGTACACTTCTTAGTTCCATCACTGTTGCCACTGAAGCTGCAAATGCGTTGTGTTGGTGTTCAATGCTGTCCCTGAACTTTTAAAGTTCTCCTTTGCAGGATATTAGAAAAAGCACCTTTTTTTGCCAGAATCCCAAAGCAAAAAGCAAAACAGACATGTAAAACTTAGGAAATTTTACTGGTTACTGATTTTTAAATTAACCTTACAAAGGGATTACTTATTCAAAGAGAGTAAAATAAACCAATCAGTGATTTACAAAGGGGGCCGGCACTGAAACTAAATTGCAATATACAAATGAACAGTTACATTACAGAATAAAATGAATTTTAAGAGACTATTATTATATTCATATTTACAATGTCTTAGGGCACCATAAACTGCTAATTTTAATTGCTGTTAAATCTTTTGAGGTTTTTTGGTTTTTTTGCTGCAATAGACTAAAACAAGTGACTCTTCCAAAAATGTTCACATTTATAGAATTTGAATTATGGTATTTATTTCAAAGTTCAACCAAATTGGGTATATTCAGGTTGGTTGTTTACAATCAGCAACCAGATTGCTTATTCAGGAATAATCTATTTCAAAGGGCTCTTTTGGAATGACACCTCAGTATTTCAATTCCCTCAAAAATGTATTTTATTTGAAAAACAAAAATAAAGTATTAGGATGGGGTGAAATTATAAAATGGATATTGAGATGAAGCTTTTGTGAAAATCTTTTGTTAATGATAAATAAACTTCATTTTCTGAACAAAATACAGAGCCCCTCAGAGCAAAGTTGGCAAGCCTGTATAATATTAGAAAGGGATGGTTTTTGTTTGTTCGTTTGTTGCTTTGGATCTGAGGAATTTCTTTCAAGGGATGCACCAGTTCATTAGGCAAATTAACTTGGCAACAGTTCCATAATATGTGCATGTTTATTTTGAGAACATTGCTGACATAATGAATTTGATTTCAAGCAAATATCAAAAACTCCATCATTCCATTTCAGCAAAAGTATTTACAATCCGGCACATTCAGGTTGGGTTTTTTTTTTTTCCTCCTTGATATGCATCCCCATCACCTGGGAAATCATCATCGAAAAGTTTGCTATCAAAAGACACAAGTAGTGAAGGGAGATACTGAACATTCAGTTAAACAGACCAGCAATCAATGCTCCCTCCCAGCTGCGGAAATAGTTGCACAAAGTATGTCTTCTGAGCAACAGCTGGATTGTCTTGGACCCCCTGGTTGCTTCTACAGCATGTATCTGGATCATCTGGAGTCAAACAGGGCTTAGAAAGGGAGGACCTGAAACAGGGACAGTTTGGAAGTGATGTGAGCAAAAAATACATGCAATCACTGCGTGTACCCTATAAAAATAAATTTGCGTAGAGAGGCCTCTCCATCATGTTAATCTTTGCTAGCTGAATTGGATCTTCCGTGTACAGGAGCAGCTCTGGATTGACGCTGCAAAGCTGCTGGCCTCTTGAGTCACAAATGAGGTTGTTGCAAGCCTTACCAGGCTTAACAGCTTTTGCAAGCAGGTTGTCTAGGTAAATTCTGGTCCTAGTCAAGTCCCAGCCTTGGGTTAGGATATTAGAGGAAGTCACTTTTTATAGCCAGAGCTCATGCTTCCATGCCTTGGAAGGGCTCTTTTGGGAAGACGACCTTACCAGCATGGGACAGGGTTGGGTGCTGCGGAGGTTCTGGAAGGCTCAGTGAGCAGCCGTTCCTTACTGTTCCTAGTGTGGCTCTTAGAAGACGCAGTGGCTTTTTTCAGTGATGGGTTGGGGTAGTGGGGGAAAGCATGGATGTTTCTCTGTTTATAGATACTGAAAGGAAGAGCTTTTTTGGGTACTGCAGGCCTGTAAAATTTTGGCTAGTTCCAACATCAAAGTTCTCCAGCTTGGACTGTCATATTTGGGGATCAATAAAAAGGGACCCTAATATATCTCTTTCGCATACACAGACGTGGAGATTCCTTACGTTTTCTCCTCAGCAGAAAAGTGGTTCTTGAGTGGACAGCTGCTCACAATACAGTACCCGAAGCTGACCCTCTGCTGCAGGGGTGAGGGAAGAAGCAAAGTGAGCTCAGATAGCAAGTCAGCAAGTTTCATGCACAAATATATAGGCGGGTTGGAGGGAAACATAGCCCCCAGTTATGATCTTAAGAGGAATACGTGCTTGGAAGGCCATGGCATCCTGTCCCTATTGCTTTGGGACACCTTGTCCACATTAGAGACCTGGAATGAAAGAAATGCCTATAGAAATAATGGGAAGAGGAACAACAGAGAACTAGGTGGCATCTTACTGTAAAACTTTAATTTGGCATACACTTAACGTCACCACTGTTAGTGGCTTTGGGTTCCAGGGAAAAGCTTTAATGTTCAAGCCAGTCAGGATGAACGTTGTCTCAATACATACATATATATATATATACATACATACATACATACATACATACATACATGCATACACATATAGGTTAATATAGAGACAATGATATACTCTTATCATTTGGCATATGATAAATTGGCTTTGGAAACGAGTAAATAATTATTTTTAGGGGATACGTCTACTAAAATAGTTCATTTGCTCCTATGGAAAAAAATTATCCACAGCAACCTGTATTTCTTGGGTAGACAGGCAAACTAAAACTGGTCTCAGCTATTGATCAATGACATATTTGAAATGTTTACTTTTTTAAAAACTATCGATATTTTTGTTTGCATCATTCCCATTTTAGAGAAGGAGAACTGAGAATGTGACGGAAAGAGAAAGAGCCAGGACTTGGTTTTCAGTTCTCCCGTCTGCCTGTCGTTTCGGTCGGGAGAAAGATGAAAAGGCTGTAACGGCCTGAAAGCGAAAGTCTTGCTCGGAGGGTCCAGTCAAAGAAGCACAAGAAGCCCACATTTCGGCCTCTCTAGTCAGGCACCTTTAGGACCCTCTAAGGAAGAAGCAACCGGGGGAAAGCGGTTAGGCTATTCCTAATTTCTGATTGGCCAAAATCTTGATCTTGACGTCTTGATTGACAGCCCTCCTCCTCGCTGGGCTCCGCCCCGTCCCAGCCACTTTACTGACACTAATGAGCAAATTCTTCCCACCGGTCTCCTGCCTGGAAGTGCTGACAGATCAAGGCAACAAATTTCAATTCCAAGCCCTAATTCGTGTCCGCAGAGCGTTTGTTACCCATGTCAGAGCTGTTCGGCCCTTCAGACGAGGCAGAGCTTGCGGGAGGAGAAGGAGGAGGGGAGGACGGGAAGCCCCGCTTTGGCACACCGGGATCGTCTGGGCTTGCAAAGGGAAGAAGAGGAGGGGGGAACGCTCGGCTACCCACTTCAGGCTGCTAGAAGGTGGATGCAAAAGGAGCGGCGAAGCCAAGCGAAGGCGAGCGGCGCGGCCTGGAACAGCAAAGCAGCCGAGAGAGAAGGCGGGAGGCTTCCAGTTGGCCGGTCCGACATGGCAGAGAAGCGGAGAGCCTCGCCTTGCACCGTGCTGAGCCTCAAGGCTCACGCGTTCTCCGTGGAGGCGTTGATCGGAGCCGAGAAACAACAGGAGCAGCCGCGGCAATCGCAGCAACATCCGCCGCCGCAGAAGCGACGAAAGCTGGCTGGAACCAACGGGGAAGAGACGCCGTCCGAAGGCGGCAGCCACGGGAATAGCTGCGGCACGGAGACCGGCGAAGGCGCCGGGCAGAGCGCCACTTCGCCCTCCAGCGCTGAGACCTGCTCGGCCGCGCCTGAAGCAGCGAAGACTTGTGGCGCCCGGGAGGTACCTCCCGGTAAGTTCTTGCGTCCTCTTGCCTTCACAGCCCGCTCTCCGCTTAAGAAAGACCTTCCCGCCCCCCAGTTTTCCCTTGCCTGGTCATAACTGAAAAATGGAGACGTTTTCCCTCCAAAAGACTTCCAGTGGTACCAATCCCCAGGCTGACCTCTCTTCTCTGACTGAGAGAAGGCTGTCATAGCTCGGCTCAGCGGCCTGTCCTTTCCCCTCAGTTTATCCCGAATAAATCAGACCGAGCTGTTCCTGGGTTTTCAGAAGCATCGGCAGAGTCTGGCCGTAGTAGCAGAAAATGCAGGATTTAAACAAAAACAAAAACCGGGCAAAGTTCTAATGCTCTGTTGCGTCTTTACGCTATAACAATAGTGAAGCACTGATAAAAGAAGTGAAGTGCAATTTTTATTCTATTTTGTTTTTTGTTTTTCTGGAAGGAATTGGTTTATGTGGGATTAATCCCAACTGAGTATACAATACTAGTATGTTTTAGTTCCAGTACCACTGCTTTGTAAATTCCTTTCCCCAATCTAAGAGTTCAGGGGACTTAGCCCCCAGGAGCTTTGCAGAAGGAAAAAAAGCATGTCCAATTGGAAATAAAGGGGACTAAAAATCACACAAGGATTGCCTTCACCCTAAAAATAAACCTGGTTATTGAATAAATCCATTTGCTTAAATTTGTACAATACAGACAACCAAACTTGAAGATATTGTACTGTCTAAGCTTAATATCTCTATCAATTCTTGTGGTTAAGCATTTTGCATATCAGAGCGAGTGAAATAGTTATATAATCATTACTGGTGGGTAGAGTTTTTAGGCTGCAGTCTTCTAAACTTATCTGATGGTGAATACCATTGAACTAAAAGGGAATAAGCTTTATTCAATACCCCATAACATGCCTTGAAAGGTCATTCACTTGTGGGTTTCTCAAGTGAACTGCACATGATCTCAAACTGAATTAGTTCGACTTAAAACAAGATCATCTTTATATTTTGTGGACAGACATTACATTTTAATTTCCAAGAAAAATAATTCCATTTGCTCTAAATCGCTAGTAAGAAAAAACGATTTATATTAACTTAAGCATGGATGGGATGCACTTTTAACCAAATAATCTTTACTGCTTTTCAGCTTTTCTTTTAATTGGACTGAAATGTTTATGACAATGAGACTCATTTTTTTTCTCTTGTTAGTTAACTACATTACTTCAAAAATATAGATGTTAATATTTTAATGCCCCAACAACTGCATTGGATTTAATTAATTAGTGTCCAATTCAGGTATGTAAATCAAAATACACTGAATATATATTGTAATAATTTTTTTACACCCCTTTAAACTGATAAAATATATTTTCCTTCAAGTGAAAAAAAAATATGGGTGACCACAGATTTTCTTACAAACATGAATTTGGTATTTAAGCTAACTGAAATTTACAGATTTATTTTCAAATATACTTTGGATTGGATTGCCAAATTCATTTGCTTGGGCAACTAGTCGATGTAATCGGTCCCTGCAAAATAACGAAGTTCATCTTGGTGTTTTTGCTTATTTGTTTGGTGATGACATTTTTGTGGGACGCATCCAATAAAGAGGCCTAAAGCCCATGAACCTTTATTTTACAATATATCCGAAAATGAAATAATACTAAGGCTCTTTGTTGTCTCAATTTACTTCCAAGTCAGTACACCCAGGGTGGCCTTGCATGCCTGGTACTAGGCACAATCAGTGCAGAAGCAGGTCTGGATTTCAGTTAATACTTCCTTTCTGCCGCCTTTTAAGTAGGATTTGGGCCTAAGCAGTGAAGTCTCCAAAATCAGCTTCCAATCCATTCCAGAAAAAGAGCCCGCAATTAAGACATGTAAAGCATTCAGCATGGCGAAGCTGTCTTTCTTAAATTGAGGCCGACTTCAGTTCAAATGGCCTTGGAAAAAGGACGGCTGTCTATAATCGTTAAAAAATGAGTGAACGTGAAACCAACTAGACTGCTTCTGGTTGAAGGCGATTTATTATTTCTAGGAAGGACCTCCTAATTGACGTTTAAGCCACCGATGCCTTTTTGTTGCAAGGGCGAGACGACAGGTCGCACGTACGCGCCGCGGCTTTTTAAACATATCTCGCCGCCCCTGGTGGCCCTCGCACTATTTTCGCATAGGGACGCTCGCGGGGGCGGGAGAGGGGAGGGATGAATTCCCGCCTTTTCCCAGCAAGATTTAAAAAAAAAAAATTCCGAGCCTTTCACCTCGCTTCTTTTCCCCCCAATTGTTGCCCGTTTACAAATACCTGCGTGGAATTTAGGCTGAGGAGTTATGGCCGTAGCAAAAAAGCAATTTGGGGCGAGGGCGAAAAGCACGCGCCCTTTTCTAAGGGAGGCCCATGCGCATGAAGCGCGCGGGAGCGTTGTCAGGAAAGAACAAGCGAGTCATGCTTCAGGCGCCTTTTCCCATTGAAAAACAAAACAAAACAAAACAAGGCGCTGGTTTCGTGGTTAAGATTTATGTGGGATTATTATTATTGTTATTGTTGTTGTCCCTTTCCACACGGGAGCGTAGAGAGTAGCTACCGTAGTCGCCTCTCCCTTCGGATTAGGTTTAGCGTTTTTTAGGCTGTTTTATTTGCCCTAACCGCCCTCTCGTATCTTTCCTCCCCCCTCTCTGTTTTCATTCCTACAGGTGGGTGTGAAGAGGGTTTCTTAAACGGTACGTCGCCCACTCTGACTTCTGCAGGCCCCGCCAAGGCTGCCTCGCCTTCACTTGCCCCGCAAGTGCCTCGGGTGGACCTGCAAGGCGCGGAGCTCTGGAAACGTTTTCACGAGATCGGCACCGAGATGATTATTACCAAAGCGGGAAGGTAAAGGCAGGGAGAATCATTCCTCCGATTCAGTGGGGTTGGGGGGAAAAAAAGGCAGTGCCGCTAAATCTGAGAATCCCCGCAGCTCCGACATTTACTATGGGATTTCCGTTTGGGTAGAGGTTTTACGACCGAATTATATTTCCTTAGAATATTGGTGGTTACATGTTACTCTTCAACATGCGGTCCCAGAACCGACCCCGTTCCCCCCGAACGGTTTTTGCTGGTGGTTGAGTTTTCAAATAAATGGATAATCAATCATGGGGTGTTTTAAACGTTAGCGTCCATCCCCTCCGTGTTAATTTGGAAGTAAATCTTAAAGTCAGAATATGTTTTGGAATGACATACCAAATCGAAAGGCAAACTATCTCCACGCGCATATATTCAGTATTACAGTGATTGTATGTAAATCAGTTAGTTTCCATGTTCTTATGTGGCAAGATTTAGAGATACATTTTAAAATAAGGGGCACAGTTCTTTCTTCTTTTCCAGCTAATTCCTTGGAAAGGCTATTGGTTTGAAATTAAATTGTTTATTATCAATAATGATCAGTCTATTTTTAAAAAGCCTAATATTAGGTATGGCTTGAAATGTTATTATCTGTTGTATCTATTTTTTGTTTATAATAGTGAAAACATTTCAGGTACTGTTTCTAGCAATCTGAAGGATGAATAAAATTTCTCTAAATGTTTTCTGATAGAAAATCAAAATATTAGATCAGAAGCAAAATATTCAGGAGAGACCATTGGTTGCCTTTGGTTTTCTGCTTCAGATAATTTGTATTGTCTCAAGCATTTTTCATGTTCAAACTTTCACCATTATGCTAATTAAACAAACATTTACTGTTGTGAAAATAGGAAGTTTAAATTATCTCTAACATGTAATAATATTTAAGAATGGTGGGTATGGATTCAAATTGGTGATATGTCAAAATAATTTAGCAAATTATGGAGCTGGAGAAGCCATTAGAATTATAAATGAGGCAGAATGTGAAGAATGGTAGGTTTCCTGTCCATTATTTTAACAAAACTACATTCTCCTAAAAATAACTTTCTTATTTTCTAAAGAATGTATGCAATATGATAAAAGTCTGCATTGTAGAAATGTATCTGAATGCATTAAAATGACAGAAACACATTTTATTGAAGCCATATGTTACCTTCTTTATTTTCAGAGAGGTTTTGTTAATGATTGAAATGCAGTATTAAAAAAACACAAGGGAACGTTTGGCTTAACAATTTTCCTGTCATTTTTTCTTTATTTTACAGATTAAAAAATGTTAAAAACTAGTTAGCCACAGCTAGTTTTGCTTCTTGGTTTTTAAAAAAATGTTAATTTTATTATTTCTAGAATGTAATTTAGATTTCATATTTTTAGAAAAGACTGAGAATTTTAGGAAAGTAGAATATCTTTGCCCTTTATATGAAAATAAAAAAATGTTATGAAATTCCTTTAATGCTAGGACAGTTTTTACCCAAGAGTTAATTTGAGAAATACATTATAGTACGTCATAAATTTCTATGTAGTGATTTCAGTTAGACAGTAGCAAAATTGCTGCATGGATTTTTTTATTCTTTTAATGAAGTAATTTTTGAGGTAATTTTTGAAGTAATGTTTTCTCTCATTGAGGGAGATGGGCAGTTTAGAAATGTGAAATATAAATACATTTTATATACCTATTAAATACTATACTTAGTAAGTCTTTTTACTTACTAAGGGAAGTTACTTACTGGGGGAAATAATTCATAATTGCCTTTATACAGAAGTAAATCCTATTTGTATATTGGAATTTGTTTCTAAATACACATTTAGAATTGTACCTTTATGGATAGATATGTGTCTATATACTATATGTATATAGTTCAGATGTAACCATGATTTGGAGGTTATACATATACACACTTGTGCATACATATGCGCCCCCCCCAATTATAAGTAATATAACCCTGTCCTGGGAAATTCACCTCTAAAACCATGCTTATTGTTTCTGTAACATATATTCACTGCTGAAAAGGTGACAGATGCTATAATCTCTCATTATGCTAATTATTAGAAGCAGCTGATAAAGACATAGATTTTTTTTTCTCTTGACAACTGCTAGTTTTGACAATCTGTTTACATATCAATTTAGGTATGTGTGCATGTATGCACGTAATGGTGGAGGGAAAATGTTTATGTTCAGGGCTCTAAGACATGAAAATGAGCTGTACCTATTTACTTTTGAGGAAACAAAATTGAGGACCAGAATGGCAAACTGAAAATCGTATTTCTGAGTGGCTGCAGCTGTTACTTCAGCCTGGGATATGAGTTTTAAAACAGCAACAAATTAAAGGCAAAAAATAAGCTTGCTAATTCACATCTATACTTAAATGGGATTGAGTTTGTTCTTTGAAGGAATTTCACTAACAAATGAAATACATGTAAAAGTTGTTGAGACAATGTGTTAGGATTGTTGTGTTTTAATGAATTGACTCTGATGATTTAAAAAGAAAAAAAGTCCTGCAGATAACTTTCAATGAGAAAGAATTTAGGGTTTTACTTCAATCATGTTCCTGATTTTGTGTCCAAATCTGTTTTTTATTAAATATTCTTTTTATATTCAGGCGGATGTTTCCTGCAATGAGAGTGAAAATTTCAGGCCTAGATCCACATCAGCAATATTACATTGCTATGGATATTGTCCCTGTAGACAGCAAAAGATACAGGTAAAGTAGCATTAATAATGGGATGAGGGAAATATAGTTTATCTGGAAAATAACAAAGATTGTGCTTAATTCCCTTCCAAATTCCTATCTTCTTTTCATCCATGAACAATCCCAAAGTTGGTGATTGTTTTTTGTGTTTGAGTTGCATTATACATTTGGTTCATATATTGAATATCCTCTGTTATCAATTTTTTTTTTCATCTTGAAAGTAACAGTCTTCAGCTCCTTACTTGCAGATAGGTTCACCATAAGTAGTAAGATTGAAATGAAATAGATTGTCTTTACTGTGTGCAAATCACTTTGCTAGCCCAATTAAGAACAACACTGTGCATGAATATGGAACTACTCAATAGCTAAAGTTACAAGCATACAAGGCAGCTGTAATTTTTCTGTGTCACCATGGAAATTATGTCTTTACCTAGTCAAGAGGCAAAGGTGATGTGGTATGTCTTATTGGGGTCTTGACATTTGATTAGCAGGTCCACTAGCGGGGACAGCACAGAAGCCTCTTCCAGCTAGTGGAAATCCTGGAGGACACCACAAAACTAAAAAAGGAAATGTACTTGCTTTGCTTTAGCCATAAAGAGTTGGTGGGATGGAGTTTGTTTCATGAAGCACTTATGATAAAGCATCACCTTTAAAGCTCATACCTGGTATTTTGCTCAAAAAGAGAAGGAAATAGAAGAAATACTCAGCAATTTTCATACCCTAGATCTTGAATTATTTCAAGATGGGATATTATTGCATACATTTTACTAGACTGAATACATTTTCAAGATGGATGCTACATGGCCATCATAGAATTATGATTATTCCACAGGATGTTGGTCGTCCTTCTCTCCTTGGTTATTTCTTTGTAGGATAGATGCATAGCAGTTGAATTTCATGCCACTTCCAGTAGCAAAGATGTAGCAAAAATAGTTGCTCAATTATTCCTGTGTATACTTCATGAAGCTAAACAAATGTCCTGAGATAGATATATAGATAGATTAGATTAGATTATTACATTAAATGAATGTTGAAGAGACGTTAATGAAACACTTGAGAAACTTCTATGGAATGTAGGACAGAAGCCTATTTTAAAAATATTCCATAAGAGAAATGAAACAAAGATAGTTTTCTTCTCCATTATCATAGTACGTGTACTAGTTAAGTAATGGACTTTTTGCTGTTATGCATAGGTCTATATTTGGGTTTTGAAAAAATGAGGCTGGCTCAGTAGATCACTACATCCAGTTAAACAAAGGATTTTGCAGATAAATTCATTCATACCCATTAGATTTGAATACTATCATTAATGGAGTTCTGTTCTCCAATTTTGATGGATATTTTTCAGTTTATATAGCCCAAAGTGAATAAAATTATGGGAAATTAGCATACACCATATGTATTCTTAAATGATTCAACCATATTCTCTTGGTTTATAAAACCTAATAGAAGGAAGCTAGCCTTGAATTCCATTATATTGTGTGATTTCCAGATTTTAGTAAAACATACATATAATGGCATGTAAAATACATTTCCCTCCTTGAGAATATTGTACAGCTTATTGAGATTCACTTGAATATGGGTTGATAGTTATTATGGAATCAAAACTATTTTGATTCCTCTGAGAATTGGACATTTGATAAGAGAATTTAAACAGCATAGTTTCCTTTTGAAGATTGTCCCTTGCTTTTCACCTTGGTGTTACCACAAATTGGATGATTCCTAGTTCTATCTGTCATAATCCAAAGATAATGTTGATTTTTTTTAAAACTACAGTTTGGTATGGATTGGATGAGAGCAAACAAAATGAAAGGATCTAACTGATCTTGGCTGGTAAAAAGATAAGCGAGTTGGAATTCAGATGCTTAGTTTGAGGATATCTCTAGATTTAATCATAGTTTGGCTACTTCCCTTTCATTGGTAGCCAGGAGTCTTCCTCGGCTCCAAATATGCCCGTTTAAGGTGTCTGACTTGGCATTGGTATAGTTACATCTGGATTAGATCACTTCCATACTATCGGAGGATTGCTTTTGAAGATTGGAAATTTCAGCTAACTTAAAATGCTGCAGTCAGGTTGTAGACTTAGACCAGTTATAAACAGAGTGTAACTTTTTGACTACAATATTTATATGATTGGTAGTTTGTCAATGGGTACAATTCAGAATGTTTGTTATAAATTCTTAGATAATATAAGGTCAGTTTATTGAAGAATTGTCTTCTCTGAGATGAGCTGCCCAAGCAGGCTCCTCCCCTCTCTTCCAAGTTTTATATGCATTTGTAATAAATTGGAGAGTCTTTTTTAATGGTTTGTAGCACATTTGGAAGTCATCAGTGTTATTCAAGCCAATATTTGATTTCATTCAAACAATTGTGTCTCTTTTGCTCCTCTGTATTTAAACTTTTATTTCATTTAATAATAATAATTTATCAGGCTCTTGTCTTTATGTTTTTATGTCATTGTACTGATTTTTAAATTGTTTTTTAATCAAGGAATGTAATAGTTAACCATATTGGATACATAATTAAATTACATAGCATTAATATTTCTGTTTATTATGGAAAAACCAGGCTAGATAGCAGGAGACTGAATTCTAGTTCCACTTTAGCCATGAAACCTGTTTGTTGGGTGACTTCGGGCGGGTTACTGGTAGACTTCAACTGGTTGCTTCGTGACTGTTTGAGGTTATGACAAAGCATAGTATAGAAAATGCTGGAAAAGTTTGGTTCGGCTATTTAATATGTGCTGTTATTTCTGTGCAATTGTTTGCAATCACTGAATGGCTATCAATAACATTTATTAAATATGTTAATGTAAGAGTTCAATCTTATAGATCTTTGCCAAAGTGGTATATATCTGCAATTCCCACTACAATTCCTAAATTTGTAGAAAGGGAAATATAATAAACGCTTTCAGAAAATTGTTCAGAATATCTTTACTATAAAATTAGATAAGTTTTACACATTCATTTCTCTGAGGAAAAGATTTGGGTTTTAATTTATTGGAAGTACTTCTAAAACCATTGTTCGAAAATCTGTCAATTCTTTTTTTTTAAAAAATCAAGTTATTGAATGTAATAAATACAACATCAATATATTCTCCTTTCTCCAATCCTGATTTACCTTTTGGATTTATAAAAAAAAGCCCAATTTGGCATCATATGTTCTGAAATGTTATCCTAATTGATTCTAGTGCATAATATTGTGATAATACTTTAATACATTGACGCAATGATTTATTAAAACAGATGAGAAACCTCAGTTATATAAGGGTCAAATAAATATAACGAAGTATGAATCTGAATTGCACTTGATCACCTTCCATTGCAAATCTTAAATAAATTTTCTAAATCTTATTCAATAGGATTTCTTTGTTTAAGATTGCTCTATTCATCATGAATGCAAATGTAATTGCAGGGGTTATACTAAAAAGCCATATTTCTACAATAATTTTTTATTTTTATTTTTAAAATATTTATTTTTTACTATTAGCTTTAGCGAAACTTAAAGTTATAACTCATGCAGATTATTTCTCATCTATATTTAATTCTGCACAGAAATAAGAATGTTAAATAGTGCATTACGAATAAACTTTCTGCTAAATGGTTACCTAAATGTATGGAAAGAAATGTTCTAAATATAGATGTAATATTTGGATACACCACCCAGAACCTTTCTCTAAGCGAGAGATGGGCAGTTTTAAAATAGGAAATATAAATAAATCATTTTACTTTTTTAGATAAGATAGATAGGTAGGTCGATAAGTAGGTAGGTACTTTGCATCAATAGTCTTTGATTGTGAGTTGATGATTCTGGTTTTTGGGGCAGAAGGAAGGGGTGTTCAGCTCAGTGATATGAAAACATACACAAATCATCCTCCTGGATTAGGCCAAAATTCACCTTCATCCAACATTTCATTTCTCAATACTGGATGCTCCTCTGCACTTATAGGCATGAAAGAGACATGCCACGGTCCTTTGTATCTGCTATCTGGAAGCTATTTTGCCCCAATTTTCTTGAAAACTAATAAGCATATGATAGCCTTACCTCCATGAATCCTCTTTTAAAGCTGCACAGATTAATGGCTTTCATCATATCTTGCTGTGGTGAATTGGTGGAGAATTCCTCAGGGTACAATCTGTTGTGAAATAAAGGTATTGTTGGATTGCAAGGAGAAGGGAGCATTGATAAAAGCTGTATCTGTCCTCCCTTCTCATTCACCAAGGAAAAGCATTGCTGGGTCAAAGCCTTTCCCATTAAAAAAAGACCTTTTCTTTTTGTGGGTTGCAGTTTTAACACCTTTACCTGGGATTAATTCTTATACAACACATAGTTTATTCTTGTATTAAGGACATATTTTTACCTCATAAGATAGCAAGCCTGATTGTTTTTCCAAGTAAAGTTTTTGTTTATATAAATTATAATTTTTGAATTGTTTTAATTATCAATGAGGGATTTGGAACAAATGTTTCTATCTGCAGTTCAATTTACTGATAGAAAAATACTGACTTAATTTATTCAGTAATGAATCTGTTCTATTAAAATATGACCACAAAGCTTAAATCATACAATAACAGTATTTTTCTTTACAGAAAAGAAGTAATGCTGACAAGGGAAACAGTCCGGCTCTTTTCTTTTCTGTAAATATGTTGCTGTGCCTAATTTTCTGGAACAGCATTGCATCCCTACCCACCCCAAGCCTGAAATGGCCCCAGTTCTGCTTTATTTAGGAAAGCCTTAAGACAGGACCCTTCTCGAAAACACTGGGCTTAGACAATGCCTGAACTCAATAGCAAGTAGCAGACTTTGAATCTGCCTTCCTTGGTGTAGTGGCTTTACTTCTGTAATGCTTTAGTGTTTTGTTTTTGGATGTTTTTAACCCTCTTGTAAGCCACCCAGAATCTCTTGGAGAGTAGGCAGCCTGAGAAAGTAAGTAAATATTTATTTATTTATTATATTGCTTTCCATGCCAAAGCATCTTGAAGCAATTTTCAGTAGGACCAGAAGTAAAATGCATAATTAACCCAATTTAAAAACAATATAAAGCAATCATTAAATAAAACCTAAAGGGGAGGGGGGGATTATAGAGTATACACTTATATTACAGCAAACTTGCAAAAGAATATTTTCATTGTGAATGTCATAAATCTTCCTCATAGGTATGTTTATCATAGTTCCAAATGGATGGTAGCTGGAAATGCTGACTCACCCGTTCCTGCCCGTGTGTACATTCATCCAGATTCACCTGCTTCAGGAGAGACTTGGATGCGGCAAGTGATTAGCTTTGACAAACTGAAGCTTACAAACAATGAACTGGATGACCAGGGTCATGTGAGTTATTTTTTTTTTAATGTATTTGTTTTTCAGCAACATTCACATAAGACAGCTACTCTTAAAAATAAATGAATAAACCTTTGGACTTAACACTAACAAAAATTGATTGATTTAGCAAAGCTTACGTCAGCTTTGTTAATGAATGTTTTCATATTTTGCCACATCAGTGAATTAGTAATAGTTTCCATCAGATGTTTCTTTGGGGCCTTTGGACACAAACAAAATTGAGCATATGAAAAATATCAAAACTGAAAGTACAGAACAAACAGTATACTTTTCCTTTCTCTCTGTAAGTGTTGGATTTTTTTAAAAAAAGTGAAAAAATATAGACTATAAATCCTTAAAATGTGTTCTCAACATATAGGAACCATAGGTGCACTAAAGAAAATGTATATCATAATTTGATAATTTTTGCAAAGTTCCCATGAGCTTTATGCTATTCTCAAAAGGAACAAAATGAGAGCTGAGAGAGAACAACTCTGATAATGATTTATTACCTATCTTACACAACAAGACCTTTTTACAGCTGAAGCTCGTTACATCTGCAAAACTGGAAGGGAATTGTATAGTTTAATTATTGTGTTTGAAAGCTCTAAATCGTTTAGTTATGATTCTAGCTCATTTGATAATATATGCTTTAGGAATATTTCCATTTTCAAACAAGAAAAAAGGAATACACTAGTATCTTTAAAAATGATTAAAATACATCTCAAGTTATATAATAACAATAACATACAAATAGTTCTGAGTATTTTTTTATAATTTTCATAAATTCAGAAATAGGTGGCTGCTTGGACTTAGAAAAACAGACTGAACTTTGGAGGCACGTAAGGGCCTTTTTAAGAATACAAAATACAATCTTTCTTTTTGTATGTTAACCTAACTCTACTTTTAGCTTGCAATTCTAGGTGAAATATGGTTTAGATTGAATATTACATTAAATATTCAAAATTGCATTTAAATTTTCTAGTTTTGCTTAGTAATTATCTAATCTGGAAAATCTTTACATAATTCTGGAAAATCTCTTATGAAAATTTGATATTCATTATGTTCATATTATGATTGTGTCTTGTTTTTCCTTTTATTATTGACAGATTACCTGTATCTTTATGTCAGTGTGTTAGGCAAGCTTAAATTGGCCCTACTAATTTTTAATTCTTTTGTAAATGATCTTTTAGATGGCAATGCATCTTTGTAAGACAGTTACAATTAAATCATTTTTAAGATAGTTTATTCCAAGATTAAGAAGTGTGATTCTGTGAGACCCTCAAAGGAATGAAGAGAATCAAATAAAAAGGGGATAAAATGCAATTATAGAAATTGCAATCATTTTGGAAAGACTGTTGGATTTCTGCATCTAATTTGAGCAAGAGTAGAGAGAGTGGCCTCTAATTTCAATTTCTTTTTTAGAAGAAAGCTGTGGTCTTATCAAACACTACTTTGCTATAGTCAGTTTAAATTATTCAGAAGCAGCTGGTATTCAAGCCTCTATGAGTTGGATAACACCTCATGAAAGATATAGAAAACAAATTTTCAATACCTTCTAAATCTTCTGTATGGATTTACTTAAATCCTCTCTTAATTAAAACTGTATAAACTTAGCTATTTATTATTCATTTTGTAGTTTAGAGTTATGGAAGTGCCCTGCATTAATTGAATACTTCAATTTTGAAGAAAGTCAAATAGCTGTCTTATCATTTGAAAAAATATACACCCAAGTGATTCAAAACTAGCAAATAAATTTGAGACAAAAGTTTATATTAAAAAAATAAGATTTAAATAGTCATTGATGGTTACCCAGTCAGAATTATAAAATGGAGAAAGATTATTCAAAAATATATTGTTTTGATTATTTAGCCACCAAGATTGAATAAGAAAGCATTTCAAAATAGTGGAATTATTGCACGTTGGACAAATCTCAAGGGATTATGTATCATATGTAAATCGATGAATATTGCTATAATATTGCCTATATTGATGTTATTGTAAGCTTTCAGATATACTAAATGTTATATAATTTTCCTGGAGCATTTAATTATATTATTTAAATAATAAAATATTTTATACCTTGTTATTATATGGAGTTAATGCCAAAATACTTCCATACAAAATGTTCAGATTTGTCAGGGAAACAAGATTGTTTGATAAATATATTCATATCATTTGTACTTTCAATGTCTATAATCATGCTGTGGACATTTAAGTGTATTGATATTGAAAGCTTCGAACAGTTTTTAATACATAAATAATTCTCAATTTGAAAATATAAAAAATAGTAAATTTTGCCCGTTCCAAAACACGTGAAATTAAAAATAGTTCAGATTAAATTGCGTATTCAACTATTTACATTTTCCATGTACATCAATTTCATCTTGATGAAATTTTAATATTTTCAAGAGATATTTCCTAGTATTGGGAATAAGGACATTTTGCAGTGTCTTCCATAGATATTTTTGCAGAGGTCAAATCATTTATCTGTTTATATTTGAAATTCCTATTGATTGAGTTTAATAAAAATAATACTTACAAAGCAATCTAAGCCAACCAACTATAATAGCACCTTGGGATAGGTTTAGAAAATATAGTATAGTATCACATTTTAAAATCCCTGTATACCCATACATTATTCTATTTCTTTTATCTGGAATAAAATGCCAGCAGGATAGAATTTTAAACTGAATTTATTTCACGTTCATATAGACTGAAAACTATTTGTAACATCGATCATATTTCCTAAAATGTTCTCCAAATGACATTTCTGAAAATAATTTCCTCGTATAATTTTATAACTTCCATAAAATAAAAACCTGAAGCATTCTTAATAAAGTACATATTCATAGTTAGACTAATGGAAGTTAAAGGCGTATAAACTAGAGTAAATATTCTTATTCTTATTTTACTAAGCCAAAGGATACTATTGTTGTCTCTTTGTATACTTACTGATAAGGCTATTTTCATCTCTCAAATATACAAATAAATAAATTCAAGTTTGCCTTTATCTCCTGCTTTAATTTCTTTGTTAATTATCTTAAGATTTATTATATTCTTCCACCAACATAAAAACATTTTTCTGGTATTAAAAATCTGGCTTGTTTATTCAGTGTAATGTAAACAATTAACATGCTTACTACTAAAATAATGGTACCTGTTCTAGAAATATATTTCTACATTCTGTTTGTTTCTTTAATAGTTTCCAAATTTTAACTCTAATCTTAATCTTAAGCGGGGGGAAAGCCCGTTTCAGTCATAATTATGAAATTATAAGTGAAAGCGTAAAAGAGTCACTGATTTAAAAAACAAAAACATAATACCAACATGCTAGTGTTTATTTAAATGATGCTTTTTCTTCGCTTGCAGTTATGAACAGTACCATCATGCTCTGGCAATCTCTTATCGTTGCCTTTCAGAAAATTAACCAGTTCCTGCTGTATCTCTGCAAATTTTACTGTGTTTCTCACTCTCAGACATTTTAGGGGAGATGTTTTCATGTGACCAATTCTGCCTTGATGCATCATTGACAAATTTCTGGCAGAAGTTTGGACAATTCATAACATTGCCTCTTCATACTAATTAGTATCTCAGAAGACAAGATGTTAACTAGATCCAGAACTGCATCTTGTTGTCCAAGTAAACTAGGGTGCCGGCAAATTAAGAGCTGGTTTGTTCTGAAATCCACTACTGAGGAAAGACTCAGATAAATCTTCAGTCCAACACATAATTAGGCAACTTAATGGCCTCTGGTTGAAAACATTTGAAAACAAATATTAATTTTCAATGGCATGAATTGTCTTAAAATGTATGTATGCATGTACTGTTTCAATGGATCTAAATATGGAATAATTACTAGTATTGATCCTGCAGATTTGCATATTTAGAAATTGCAGAGCAAGGATGAAATTATGTCTAGGATAAAAAGATTAAAATAGAATGCTATTAGATAAGACCAAAAAGTCCTCTAATGTAGCATTCTATTCCTCATAATCCCCAATTGAGATGTCTACCTCTACACTGTTTCGGCTACAGTAGAGATGTATAGATGAGTGTTCTATAGTTAATCATTTATAGCTGGATACATTTTATAGAAACCTAAAGTAATATTTATGATCCAGACTTAGCTGCAATCCTGATTTAATTCCTTGGAGTGAATCCAATTGAACTTTTTATTGCATAGTCCTGAATAATACTTTTGAATAAACACGCTTGCTAACACACCAAAATTATGGCAATAAAAATTAGAAGGAGGGACACAAATACAGGTTGTAAGTATAGTTTTTAAAAAATTATTGAAAGCTATAAAATTCCGCTCCGAAAATATCAACATACTGATCATTTTATTTTTGCAGAAAGGCTAGAAATTCCAGCAATTCATTTATTCTGTACAGACCCAGTGTCTTGAAATTCTAAATATGTGAGGGAGGACAGATATAACACAATTGTATAGTCTTTGTTGTCACAGGTATGTTGATTAAATCTGTTTTCTGGTTATGCTGGGTGTTTTACAAATACTTAAGTGCTGCTTACTTGAAAAAGATTTAGTGTGGTTTGGGATCTTTTACCAATCTATTTTTTTAGCTTGCTTTACAGTATTTAGATCACTAAAATTGTACTTTAGTTGGACTTTTTATCTCTGTGTTACATTTTGGAGATACAACAAAATGATAATGTTTATTTATACCAATTTCTTTCTTTATCTGTATACATTTGTGTTTCATCTGCAGCACTTCTAAGCATGAGCAAACAAGAGTTTCAAGCATCCACGAACAGGGGAAAGGGAAAGCAGTAGGTTTGAAATACAATTAGTATTCAAGCTAGGATATAGTATTAAAAATCAAAAAATACTCGTAAGGCTTTTCATGGTGAAATATTATTTCACAGTCACAATTTTTTTTTTATCTCAGTCACATTCAGGAATGTACACATCCAGGAAAATATATTGAATTGAAATGAGAGATATTTATTTCTAATCTTGAATATTATTCTAATCCTGAGTGACTTTGTGTAATTGTAACAAACAGACCATTTACTGGCATGCCCAGTACTTTTTAGCATACGAAACAAACATAAGTCAGTTCATTCATTTCATCCAGAAGGCTTTGACATGAAAGTAAGTTCAAAGTCTAAGCCATACTTGTTTTGTTGAAGCTTGTATCCAAGGAATTGCCTTCATGAAAATGAAAGGAGAAGTTCTACAGTAATTTTTTAGGTTTTAGGTTTTTTTTCTTTGTAATAATAGTCTACAGTGCATTTACCTCTCCTTGTTAAAGGGAAGATTATATCTTTACTTCTAATTTCTCCAACCAGTCCCAGAATTCTCTTGTGCTGAGAAGAAATCATTCATCAATGTTGCATTATTTGAAGACACTGGGTTATTAGCATTGTTTTTTCAAGTCAAAATCTTTGGCCAGTTATTTCTGTAAGACTAGTGGTGATATTTTTTGCGGAAGTCCATTGGCAAATGAGTAACAACAAAAAATAATTCCTCATTGTGTGAAAGAGTCTAGCTGGAAAAATAAATAAATAACTTTCCATATGGATAGTACCAAAAGCATTCACACTCACTCATTCACTCTACTCTCTCACACAAAAAGAAGTGTATTAACATTTTCAGAATTATGGAGTGATTTCTTCTTCAGTGTGATTTTACCAAAGCAGTACAAAGTGTCCAAAATATCTAATATACTTTTGAAATGTTTGCTTCAGCAGAATGATTGTTGATATCTTGTTCTGATAAAAATGCAGATGTTGGAGAAAGTACTTGGGGGAAACTTATCTAAGCATATTTGGTGTGCATCTGATAAAACTGTCAAAAATCAGAGTTCAGTATAATGGAAGTTTATGTATGTGGAATTTTGCTTATCCAAAAGACTGTCACTTTCCCAAGTGTGGAATGATTTCACTTAAAAGTGTCCTAATGATAGCCAAGACTTTTATTTTTTTCAAATATAAAATCATTCCATTTTGGGGCACAGTAAGATTTTATGAAATTTGGCATTCAATAAAGTATCATGAAATAGGAACTAGGGAATGATGACATACAGAGCTGAATTTAATATTTTGTGGCCAATAATGAAACAGGAAATTAAAAATTGTATTCATTTTAAATTGACAGACTGTTGGCTGATAGCCATGAAACTTCGAAACAAAACAATTTTCAAAAGTAATATATTTTTTATTTGAAACAAATTCAGGTGCATCCTAAAACTGATGCAATATTTTCTCCAGAAATCTTTGAAAATTATGGTTTTTAAGATATTATGAAAACATTCCCATGTTCATTCTAGAAGTTTCACATGAACAATTTTGAATTTGGGAAGCAACAAAAAGAAATGACATTTCAGAGATGTAGTAGACTTTGCACAATCTGATGGAGAGTGTGTTTTACAACTCCTTTTCAGATATATTTTTCTTCCGAGGGAGATGGGTGGTTAAAAAAGTACAACAAACAAACTAAATAGCAGTTGAGAATCTATTTGGACTAAATTAAATTTTTCTAGTGCCCTTGGATGCCTGTTGTACTTTCAGTTTTTAACTAGATCATTGAGCTTTTACTTTTGCCACTCTAATTGCATTTATTTTTGTTTTGCCCAAGGTCAGAATTCACATTGTTAATCAGTGTGTTAACGATGAATCCACATATGTAGGTATATGAACAGTGGCTATTCTAATCTTTTACAACAATTTTCCCAAGTCAGTAGTCTATAAGTATTTTATACCTGAACTCCAACAATTCTTAAACGTGGACTGGGAATTATGAACGCTGAGATTGAACACTTCTGTGATATTAGATGGAGAAATTGCTGCATTGTGAAGGAAACATAATATAGAAAGGCCACCTCAGGGCTTTAAGATTTGTTTTAAAAACTTGCTATCAGGATGAATACGTTGAGATTCTATGAATTCTTAGGAGACAGAATGAACAAGTAGAATAGGAGAAGAACAATGGGTATACAAAGATAAATCCTCTTTGAATACTGGCAAGGAAGATTGGCATGTTCAACACTGTATTCTTTGACAAGCTTCTCAGCACCAATTGGGCATCCTTCTGTTTTGGTTTGTAAACACTCTATCTTTTGGAGTTACGTGAAAATCATTTGTACTATTTTTGGACTGGTGACTATAGTGTATAGTGTAACAGTGACATAACTTTGATTCAGGTTAAATTAAAGTCTAAGATTTCCTTTGCTGTGGTCTAGGTTATGCTATTCTGATGTAAAGATTTTTAGAATGACATAGTTTGCTATCATATCCTTATAAAGTAATATTTTTTAAAAAAAATATGTTTATATGGTATAATAAATAAAAGATTAAATTACTCCTTGTAAACTGGGTATGTTCAGTAGCTGATTAATACATGATTTCTTCATGATTCAGAAAACAAAGTTTGAGAGTATTTCTGAAATATTTTAGTCTGAACTGAACAGAATCAGCTTTAGTCCAACAACTCGTTTTTAAAACTTTGATAATTGCTTCTGTTAGCTTAAAAATTATCATCCAAAGCCATTCTATTGAACTAAAGCTGGGTAGTTTTTAGATTCAATACAATATATTTGCTTCTCTCAGAATAAAGCAGGATGGGCAATTCATACTATTATATTTAAAATAAATATAATAGAAACAGGAAGAAAATTAGAATGTTTTTCTTTCTTTCTCTTTTTCAATATAGATAATTCTTCATTCTATGCACAAATACCAGCCACGTGTCCATGTCATTCGAAAAGACTGTGGGGACGATCTCTCCCCAGTCAAACCCATTCCTTTTGGGGATGGCGTGAAGGCATTCACTTTTCCCGAAACTGTTTTCACTACTGTCACAGCATACCAGAACCAACAGGTAACTTTTGTTTTATTTTGTTTTAATGCCGATGGCTTAGTAGGATGGGCATTAAAGTCTATCAAAAGTTAAACAAAAGAAATACTGGCAAACATCAAAAACTATACCATAGCTTTACAATAAAAGCAGTACTGACCTACATAATATTGAATTCCTAGCCTGATCTATTTTGAAGGGCTAATTAGAAAGAGAAGATTGAAAACTACAGAATAAACACCACACTGCCTCCTTCAAGGCTGGTGGTACCTATTCATTTCCCCCCCAAAAATCATTAATCACTTCTTGAATCAATTCTTCACCTATTTCCTGACTACCCAGAGGAAGTAGATGGAAAACATATCCAACCTGCTAGTAATAGAAATTATGCCACAGAAGTTCTTATCATCTTGTACATTCTTTCCCACCCAGCTGTGAGCCACCATGCTCAGAGCTATTAGATAATATCTGCAGGTACTATAAGAATAAAGGTAAAGGTTCCCCTCGCACATACGTGCTAGTCATTTCTGCCTCTAGGGGGAGATGCTCATATCTATTACAAAGCCGAAGAGCCAGCACTGTCCGAAGCCATCTCATGTCTCCGAAGATCATGTGCCGGCATGACTAAAACACCGAAGGAGCACGGAACGCTGTTACCTTCCCACCAAAGTGGTCCCTATTTTTCTACTTGCAGCTTACACACTTTCGAACTGCTAGATTGACAGAAGCTGGAACAAGTAACAGGAGTTCACTCAGTTACGTGGTGCTAGGGATTCAAACCACCAAACTGCTGACCTTTCTGATCAACAAGCTCAGCGTCTTAGCTACTGAGCCACTGTGTCTCTCTACTATAAGAATAGGTAGATACAAAAGTTTTGTTGCCCTTTCCACAACCCTTTTAACCTGGATATGGCTAGGTTTTATTTACACAATATAACAATGTGCTTTTGAACATAATATTAGATGTTAATTATTTAAAATAACTGGCTGAAATGTCAGAAGGCTGCATTAATTTTTGTTGATAAATGTACATGCCCAGGGCATTATCCACCTACCAATGCATCTATGTGGCCTCCCAAGAAGCAGGATGGTAGAAAAGCTATTGGATAGAAAAAGCAATTCAATAAAAATGAGATTTGCTACTGGTGTTTAGATATTTTCCCACATGATTTTTACAGGAATTAAATTTTCATTGGACTCTGTCCAATTAGTTTCACTGAACAAATAATAACTTGATATATGTAATATATAGGCGGGGGGGTGGCATGTATTTACAAAATATGCTTGCATTATTATTTAATGGTGGTAATTCAGTTTTTATGTAGACTTTCTGTGTGTGACTTTAAAAACTTTGCACATTTTCTATGTATTATCTTTACAGATCACCAGACTCAAGATTGATAGAAATCCTTTTGCAAAAGGATTTAGAGATTCAGGGCGCAACAGGTAAATGTTCAGACATTTATTGTAAAAACTGCAAGTTATTTATGAAAATGCATAAGTATTTGGAGCAAAAGTAGCATATCTAAGTTGTATGTCATTTGGAAATTAAAATTTAGTATAGATTCATAAAGTTGGAAGAAGCCATCCTTGCTTGGTATATAAAGCAGAATAAAGCATATTGTATGTGCTTGAAACCACGCAATTAAATGTCGTGTTTTTGCTCATATTATTTTACAGACGTTGTATATAAAAATCAGATTTGTGTATGAGAAATATACTGTGTATGACTGACAGTCTTATGAAGTAAAATAGGCTTTATTGAAAACAGAATTCTTTGGAAAAGAATATTATAAAAAAATTTACTCCAGGAAGTAAAACATATATTTTCTTTCTTTCTCAGAAAAAAAATATGATACAGTTAATAAAATTAGCCATTTGGATGTATAAATTATGATGGTGATAAAACAAGTAGGACAATCCTCAAAAGCATCTTGTATAAATTATCACATTGGCATCACTTCTTCAGGAGATGGGCTTTTATCTGTACTTTAGCAAAAAATGAAAACTCTCCTATTACCACAGGGATAAAAAAAATTAAAGTTATTTTTGAAATTCACATATCATACTATTTCTTAATTCTTTCCTACAGTGTTTTGGGGATCAGTCTGGCACCACTGTCTTAGAGAAGCAATGTCATGGGAGAATACTGGTGTTTCAAATTGCTAAGCTAAATTGCAATTCTGGTTTGATTGTGTCTCCAAAGAAAGTGAATTCCATAAGTTAATTATGTTTACGATAAAAGAAGTACTTTGTCTTTTCTCTCCAGATTCTATTGCCAGTCAATTTAATTAGTTGACTTCAAGTTCTAGTGGTATGAGACAAACTAAAAAATGTATCTTTCTGCCTATCACTTATCATTTTGCAAACTGCTACCACATTTTTTTTCTAAATTAAAAGGACCTAGCTATTTTAGTATTTTCTCAGGGATAATTTTGGTTCAAATTTTCCATATCTTTCCCATATGTGATTCTTTTTTAGTTCTATGCGATGAACAGAGTAATGAAATTATAATTATATGTAGGCTTAAATGTTATATCTTTGGTAGTAATATGTAGTTTAAGAGAAAATATATCTGTATTTCAGGAATATGCTGATAATTGTTATCATGAAAGTTCATCCCAAAATGGAATCCCTGACCCACTTACTTATATGACTGGGTCATTGCATACATTTAAGCAGTAAAAAATTTGAAGCAAATTAATATTTCAGCAATTGCAGAACTGTTCACACTGAAAATCCCAATAGTTGGAATTGACAAGTGTAATGATACATATATCGTTAACAAATTTTTTAAAAAAATCAAGTAAACATTGCTTGAAAGCCTTATTCCCCATTTTTCACGATGAGGTGGGATGTTGTAGGAAATCCTAATTCAGATGTTTATAAAAGTACAATCCTTCACTGGCTAAAGCACATACATTTCTCCCCTGGAGTCATATAATAATTCTTTTAGTTATACCCATGCCCTAAAATCTACAATTTGGGAAATTTGAAGAGAATAAGAATGCATCATTACGTGCAGCTGTCAGTCCAGGATCATATTAATAAATCTATAGATAATAGGGCAATATGTAACAGTAATACGACAAAATGAAACCATGAGTTACATTCCATATCCTGAGTTGCATCTCCAACACTTGTAATTTGCCTTTATTCCTTATTTGCTGCAATGCACTTCAGCTTTATCTGTGAATCATGCTTAATGAAATTATACCATGCTGAAAATGTGAAAAACTTTTAGGTAATTCAACTCACAAAATATTCTTGTTGTGTTGTCTAGGATGGGACTGGAAGCTTTAGTAGAATCTTACGCATTCTGGAGGCCTTCACTGAGAACACTTACATTTGAAGATATACCTGGAATTGCAAAACAAGGTAACTCTTGTTTATAGATTGAATTATGCTAAATATAATCAAAGTGTTGTTTTTGTCATTGAGGTAATAACTTTTGTTTATTTAAATATTTGGCTATATAATCTTGTGTTTGTTTTAAAAGTTAGACTGATAGACTGAACCCATTTTTCTATTAACAGGAAATCAAACAAAGCTAATAAAAATATATTAGAGAATCTCAGCAAGAGCTATTAAGGAAAAAATAATTATTAGTAAATATATAGTACTCCACTTTATCAGATACTGAAAAGGATGAAAAAATATAGCCCATGCCACATTTAGAAGTGATCTGGGAGGAATCAAAAGGTTCCTTCATTGTAATTTAAGAATAAGACTTTTCCTTGCTACCAGTCCTCCTGTAGATTCTCTAGCAAAAACAAAAAAGTGGTGAATTGTCATCCACCAGATTGAATATCCCAATACATTCACTGGTTAGTAAAGCAATAACATTTTTCTTCTAACTTATTTTCATACGAATATGTAGATTCATTTAATCCAGAAGTTCCAGAGTTCCTGAAATTAAGAATACGAGCGTCAAAACTTAAGAGTTGATTCAGTTTATGCAGAATAACATGAAACTGTTATGTGTGAGAAATATTTATGGAGAAGTAAGTTCTGAAGTTAAAATTCAATTTTAAAGATCAAATCTTATTCCAATTCTACAGGAAAAGAAAAAAAAACTTTTGATATCATATTATGGGACAGTCTAGATACAGAATTAACAAGAAAAACATGTTCAATATAATTGGTTTTAAATGTTATATGTGATTTGTATAGTTAATGTATAACAGCTAGCCAGAAGTAGATGTGAGCAGATCTTGCTTGTAATTATAACAACTAATAATTACAATAATAATAACAGTTGCTACATCAATTATCATTAAATCATTAAAATTCCTTCCCTCCCATCCACATTTGCTACATTAAAAAAGTTATAATTTTTTTGAGATACCAACTGTATTCTAGCTTTTGTCCAGGACTTTTCTACTTTTTTTTCCTGTCCTTTCTGACAGTATGCTCTTCAACATATTATTACAAACTATACTGTGCACATTGTAAATCACCCAGAGTTACTGTATGCTAACAGATTCTAATCTGGGTTCTGTCAATCTTTGATCTAAGATTAAGGAAGATTTTTTGTGAAAGCTACAGACTTGGCTGTTCAAATACAGTAGTGCATGCCTTTCCACAGTGAAGCAAATTAGTTCTATAAATGCACAATGGTTATATAGTGTGAAGACTTCAGTTAATATAAGCACAAGTCCAACTGCTCTCTTATTCAGCAAGAGGTAGGCTCTGGATAAGACGCTGAGTTTGTCGATCAGAAAGGTCGGCAGTTCGAATCCCTAGCACCGCATAACAGAGTGAGCTCCTGTTACTTGTCCCAGCTTCTGCCAACCTAGGAGTTCAAAAGCATGTAAAAATGCAAGTAGAAAAATAGGGACCACTTTGGTGGGAAGGTAACAGCCTTCGGCGTATAGTCATGCCACATGACCACGGAGACCTTCGAACAGCACTGGCTCTTCGGCTTTGTAATAGAGATGAGTACCGCCCCCCTAGAGCCAAAAATGACAAGCACGTATGTGCAAGGTGAACCTTTACCTTAGGCAGCTCAACCTCCCTTCTAATTAATGATCCAATATGAATGTTGTATTTATTTAATTCCCAACGCTCATGTCCTAGATGTTTTATTTATTTCTTAAATTTCTACACCACCCATCTCACCTGTTATATTGTTTATAGAATTCCGGTCATGATGTTGCAATGCATGTTTCATTACTTCTTCTCCTTTCTACTTGTAATGCCTTTTGAAGATTATTCTATAAAATATATGGGGTGGTACAACTGGAAGTTAATGCCCGTGATAAATAAAAATTTAAGCTATAATATAAATAAAATTCTTTCTTTAGAACTGTCTTTAACTAAGAATCTCAAACAATTATTTAATTTTTAATATAACCTACAAACTGATGTAAGATGGCAAAGGCTAAACGGGCAGAATAAGTCTTCCCTCTCCATTCTGCCTGGTCATTACTTCCTAATGAAGGAAGAGTTACATTCTTGCATTTAATGTTGGCTGCCTGTCCTCAGATGTGGCAGTAGATATTATCTTGCACTCTTGAAGTACAGTAATTGAACCACTAGTCTGTTCATTTTTGATCATGGTAGCATCAAAAAAAGCCATTTTTGTGCTAACCTACTGTAATCTTACTTTGGCCATTTTAGGGCAATATGCAACAGTAATAGATAAATGCCATTCTGTAATATTCCGATATTTCCTTTCAGGAAACACTGGTTCTTCCAGCCTGCTCCAGGGATCTGCCAATGGGGTACCATCTACTCATCCACATCTCCTTCCTGGGTCACCTTGTTCTTCTCCTGCTTTTCACCTCACTCCCAATACTAGCCAATTCTGCAGCCTTGCTTCAGCTGACTATACAGCCTGTGCTCGCTCAGGTCTAACCCTTAACAGGTACAGTACTTCCTTGACTGAAACCTACAACAGGCTTGCCAATCAAACCAGTGAGACCTTTGCAACCCCAGCAACTCCCTCTTACGTTGGTGTATCAAATGGTTCAGCTGTGAATATGCCTGTGGCAGGTAGTGATGGTGATGCATTCAGTTGTCCGCAGGCGGGATTATCAATGCAAATTTCAGGGATGTCTCCACAACTCCAGTACATTATACCTCCTCCATCTGGCAATGCCTTTCCAGGAAATCAGACCCATCCAAACTCTTACAACACTTTCAGGCTGCATAGTCCTTGTGCTCTGTATGGATACAACTTCTCCACTTCCCACAAACTGGCTGCAAGTCCTGAGAAAATTGTTTCTTCCCAAGGAACTTTTTTGGGGTCATCACCAAGTGGAACCATGACTGATCGACAGATGTTGCCCCCTGTAGAAGGAGTGCACTTACTTAGCAGTGGGGGGCAGCAAAATTTCTTTGACTCTAGGACCCTAGGAAGCTTAACACTGTCATCATCTCAAGTATCTGCACATATGGTTTGATAAATACTTCTATAATTAAAAGTACAGTGCATTTCTTTTTATAATGTACCTTCCCCCCTTTTGGGAATAATGCCAAGGTGATTAATATGACTTGTAATTGTATGAATAACAACAAAAGAAATTAGATTGAATCTTTTGATTTGCTTGTGGGCAAACATTTGGACAGATTCTGGCATCTGAGTTAATCTGATTTAGTTATCAGAATAGTCCATTTAGTTTCTGAGTAGCATGCACTTCATTTTATAACACGTTTGGCCATATGCAACAAATTAAGCAGGACTTCTTCCAGCACTCTTTCCCACGTTTTTCCTTCTTTAAGGAATAAAACAACACTCAACTCTGATATAGATGAAACAAAAAACACTTCACCATGTATACGTTGTACTTGTGTATTATGTTTGTGTTCAAACTATTCTGAATACAGTGAGCCAGTGCCATAATGTTTACATTTCTTCTCTGTTTTAAGAGAGATAACTAACGTGTGCCTTCATTAGACTTAATCTAGACATCTAGCTGCATCATGCTTTCAAAACAAAGAGACAGGATCATTTTCTTTCAGCATTTATGATGTACCAGTTGATTCTGTGCTGTGCTCTTGTCCTTATGATGCATTGCTAACATAGGACTATCTGCTGGCTTTGCATCAAATTGCAGATGTAGTGGTGACAAGCTAAATTATAGAGTGAAAAGAGCAATATGTAATGTTTTGTACAAAATAAATTTAAAGGAGACTTACTCCATGTGAAGAGAGTATAAAGATTTTCTATATAGATTTTCTATTTGTTAATTATTGAACCCACAACTACAAACACAATAAGGCAAGACTTCTAAACCTTTCTATATCTTTCTTGTTGAGGATAATGTTTCAAGATGCTAAGGCAGTGGATATATTTTCACACCATTCTGTAAAATTGCAAAAAATTGCCCACAGTATAAGTGATTAGACTTGAATGCTAACTTTTGAATTTACCAAAAACAGAACATGGTTTTTAGTAATTGTGATCATCTGAATTTTATTCCAGTGTCAACATCTTGCACTGAATTAATAAGTTGTTTCCAAATTTTGACTGGGATATTAAAATAAGGCATAATACAAAAAGCTGCACATCTCAGTAGATTTGATAGTTCCTAAAAATTATGTATATGACCTTTAAAATTACAATATTGTGAAGCAAATAACTGCAGTATGTCCATTTCCTTTTCCATTTTTATGGCTAGCAGATCTTCCATTCACCAACCTGTCAATATTTTTATATTAAGAACATGTCCTACTAGAGATTTAATTCCAAAAAGATTCTCCAGAATATGTAAGTGGCACAAATGTAGTATATTTCAGCAGCTATGTAAAGTATCTATCTTTTTCTAGGACCATACAGTTGCTATCTGATCCCAGGAAAAGATGTAGTTCCTTTTAAATACTGCAGACGGGCCTACCATAGTCCATGCCCCTATGTGTTCTGGAGCACTTTTTGAAATCAAATTTAAAACTTTGCCCAGCACTTAATTTTTCTTCTCTTTCAGTGTGCAAATCCTTAAGACTTTTATCCCAAAATATAACTTTGTTGGATTAAATTATATTGCCCTGTATAAACACAATTGGTTTTATTTTTTTCTGAAATATTTATTTGAATAATTACAACTCATAATAAAATAAAAAACCAGAGTACTGATGTTCCAGAAAGCAATCCTTACAATTTTGGGAAAAAATCAAGAGAAAATTCAAAATTATTATGTTATTTGTTTACCAGTATACTACACGGAACAAGGAGACCTAATCTGGGCCAATAGGTACAATGACTGGCCATTTGTATCAGTTCTCTAATAAGCAAAATAAAGGCTTTTTGTCTTAGTTATCAATCTTGCTAAGTGCTTTCTGCATCTGTTACTCTGGTTTTGCTTCTTTATTTTGAATCTAAATTCCAAACTCCGACTAGAGTAATTCGGATTCTCAGGACAGTCTGCTATACAGGTTCAGGTCCAAACATATTGCCCTTGATTTCTATATGAACATAGGTTTGTCAAAAAAAATTGTTTTTCAATGTTTCTTCCATACTTCTGTCCCACTTTGGATATTAGTGTTCAACAATGCCTTTTTGGTGAATGGGAGGCATCTAGAGCCCTTCTTTGAGGGAGATGGACTATTTAGAAATACGAAATACAAACAAACTACAATAGAATTGGTGTTGGACCTTACATGGAGTCTTATACACAATGATGCTTCAAAGTTTGTAAACTCTTGGATTTCCAATATTTCTGCATAAATGTGACCTAAAATATGATCTGTTCTCCACACAAATTAAATAAACAAATCAACAAATGAATCAAAACCACTATTTATTTATTGAGCAAAGTAATTCCAAGCTACATATTATAGGACAGCAAAAGTGTGTGAACCTCTCTACAATTATCAGTTTATTTCAGGGGTCTTCAAACTTGACAGCTTTAAGACTTGTGGACTTCAACTCCCAGAATTCCTCCTCTAGTCATGTTAGCTTGGGAATTCTGGGAGTTGAAGTCCACAAGTCTTAAACTTGCCAAATTTGAACACCCTTGGTTTATTTGATGGGGGAGTTACAGTCAGGTGTTTCAATCAATGGGATGTTAAAGGTGTGAGTGTGGGAGGTTGTGCCTTATGTATCCAAAATATGGATATTCACTGTTAAAGTCTGATCTTTTCAACACAGCTCTGTGGAAATGTATTATGGTTTGAAAGGAGATTTCTGTGGACCTTTGAAAAACAAGTTGTTGCTCACTAGGCTGGAAAGTGTTCCTTATCTCTAGAGTGTTTGGATTACACAAATCCAATGTTGGGCAGATTGTATACAGATGGAGGCAATTCAACACCACTTTTACCTTCTCTAGAAATGGTCAACCAATCAGAATCACAGTAAGATCAGTAATATTCTTGGTGGTCTCATAGAAATTCAGGGTAACATCCAAGGGACTAATGGCCTCTTTTGCATAGATAAATGTCAATATTAATGAGACCAGCATCAAGAGAATACTGAATAATGGTGTCCATGGCATGGTCGCTAGGAGAAATCACTGCTTTTCAAAAGAACATTGTTACCTGTCTACAATTTGCAAAAGTCCGTGTGGATAAACCGGAAGATTATTGGAAGAATGTTGTATGGATAGATAAAACTGAACAAGAACTTTCTGCCTTGAATAAAAAGTATGATGGAATTCCAGCATAAAAACCTTATTCCATCTGTGAAAAATGGTGGCGATATCATGGGCCTGCTTTGCTGTCTGGACTAGGACACCTTGCCATCGACTGAATTAGAATTGTACCAGTAATTATACAGGAAAATGATTATATCCGTCTGTGATCTGGAGCTCAAGAGAAAATGGGTCATGCAGGAATACAACAACCCAAAATATGCAATTGTATAACAAAGAATGCTTAAAGCAGAAGAAAGTTAATGTTTTGATCAAAGTCCTGACCAAAAGCAACAGAAATGTAGAAAGACGTGCAATGGGTAGTTCATATAAGGAAGTTCACCAGCATCCCCGAATTGAAGCTGTCCTATAAGGATGAATGGTTAAAATTCTAAGCTAAAGTGCAGGATTTAACCAACAATTACTGGAAATGTTTTGTTACAGTTATTGCTGCCTCAAAGGATGAGTGGGGTGATGGCACACCAGTTACTGAAAGCAAAGGTTCACGTGTTTTTACCACACATAAATACATAGTTTGGGATCATTTTCCTCAAATGAACAAGGGTGATGTTTTTCACACATTTGTTCAATTATGTTCCCTTTACAGTATATAGTTGTAGGACTTGTTCAGAGAGCTGATCATGTTTTATGTCATAGTTATGCTGAAATATTGAAAATTCAAGATATTTACAAACTTTCAAAAATCGCTATGGCTATTGGCCAATATTGTGCACACTCTTGATCCAAATCTTACATAATTGTTTGAAAAAGTTTGCTTCTTATGTTGGAAAGTCTATTCTGTTGCCCACTTATTTGTAAATCCAGGAATTATTAAAGAGTGTAACTGTAAAACAATGAAATGGACAATTTGGCTTGTACCCTTTCTGTATTGTTTTTATTTCCGTGGGATTCCTCTGAAGCTTCTATAATATGCTGCTGTAACACAAGTTTTAATGCCAGTACTTAGAATCATAAACACAACATAGCAAACCTAATATTGTCAAGTATATTTTTTCTTTCAGTAAAGATTTGGGGCTTCTGGGTGTAATTCTGAAAATGTTGCTGTGTTTTCTCATCCTTTTTAACTGATTTGGAAGTTAAAAGTTTTCAACTATCCTAAAAGATATTGATGAATAATTTGTAAAAGATCTTAATGAAGTGAAAATTTGAATCAATTTGGAAAAGCTTAGAATTAATACAATTAAAATAAAGTCAGAATTTATGTTCCCATATTAAGGAACATTTCAGGTGAAAAGCCACTATTTCAGCAAATGAAGTCTTGCAGTCATACTGCCCAGTAATACAAAATGTGATACAACTGAACTTGCTGAGGTTCTATGCATTGGTAATAACAGTAGCTCTTGGATAGTCATTATCCTGCCTAGCAGTAGTTTTTCAAATAATAGAAAAGTTTATATTGTATTAAAACAGCTTTTTCTTAAAATGCAATTCCTTTTGTACTTAAAATATCGTTACATAATTATAAAGTCCAATTTTATGGAATACAGTGTCAAATAAGCAGCATATCTATAATTACATATTGCTGTATTTTTTCTTTTTTTAAAGCTACAGAATGGATATTAAAGCATATATCTAAAACACTTTTATTAAATTTTTAAAATAAAATACTTTTAGAAAAAAACATTCATGGTAATGTCATCAAAATGTTTATGTGTTGCATTTACTGTATACCAGCATAAGTTCTCAGATATATCTGGCATGGTGAAGGTTTGAAATAGAAGTTTCATTTAGAAATATATTTGGCATCAAATTCATGCATATTTCTGACCTGTGGGATTTTTCTACAATTTGATTTTCAACAGCCTGCGACCAGGTTT